CGACGGACGGTCGCTGGCATCGCCGTCACTGACCCAATCCAATACCCCAAAAAACTCAGAGTTGCCAACTTATTTTTTTAAAGATAAATTTCCCAGTTTTTCAAAATCGTTACCTGTCCACATGATGTCGATTTCTTGAGCCAATTTGGACCCCAGCGTGTTCAAATACTCGGAGTTGGTGACATTGGGGACCGCCCTTGTGGAGCAATACTGCGTGGGGCACACCAGGAACTTGGGCTGTCCCAGATGCTGGTAAATGTCGTTGGTGATGGAGACCTGCGCTTGGGCGAAGGACTGGAACACCTCCTTGTCGGCCTCGGACATCTCGGGCTCAATGTCGTCGAACAGGAGGGCGAAGGCCGTGCACCCGAACTGGGAGACTTGCTCCAGCTTCCGCTTCAAGGCCGTGATTTCCTTAACACTGCTGTAGGTGATGTCGAGCCCCGGGGACAAGGCGTAATAAAAAGTGATGTTTTGGTCTTTGGCGGCCTGGATCAAGCCCGTCAGGTGCTCGGCTTCCTCCACGGTGTACAGCTCGCGCCAGTAGGCCCGGTGCTTGTAGTCGTCCTTGGGGGCGTAGACGTAGGAGTCCATGCCCCATTTTTTCATCCTGAAAACATGTCTTAGCGGGGAAAAACACACTAAAAGCGTACTTTTGGAACAGGTCCTTGCGCTGCTCGGTCGTCCAGGGCCGGCCGTAGAAACCTGGAAAATTCCAACACTCATTTCAGACACAAATTAAATTTATTTGTATATTTAGTGAATTTCCATTAGCCCCCACTACCATATTTGTTAATAGGAGACTCAAGTCGCCTGGGACGTCAATTGTTTGAAAAAAATGATGTTTTGGGGTTGGGGAAAACTCACCTTCGACGACTCCACAAATAAAATTTCCATTTTTTGTGTTCAAATTTTCTGAAGTCGGAAGGTTAGAATCCTCCGCCATTTTCGGCTCGACAACGTCAACTATGACAAAAACTGTGGCATCTAGGGGAATAGGCAACCAATACTTCAGTTCTAACGTAATGCAGGCAACCAGTAAATCACACAATCACAAAACATGCAACAAATAACAAATTTCTCCTTTTTATAATTTTGTATAACATTTTAAAATAAATGAAATTAAACAAAATGTGTACATTTTTAAGTTTTTTGTCAATTTTTAAAAGCTGAGATAGGCAATCAAGACTGCACTTATTACACCAGCTAGACAACTAGTAACACTTATTCTTAAATTCAGTTTTTTTCGTGGAAATAATTTATTTCTGATTTCTGATTCCTGATTTTTAATTTTTAATTTCCGATTTCTAAATATGTGCGAGATTTTGCTAAACAGACCAAAAAAAAACACAAAATTAATTCATTAGCATGTTTTTCTGGTAAAAACGTGTTTATTTTACAAACGTTGGTTTAAAAAAAAAACAAAAACTATAGTATTAGACCAAAAAGTGTTATTTTTACCTTTACCTGTTTTCGTTTGTTTTACACAACTTAACCTAACTTTAAAAAAAAACAAAAAAAACTCAACATCAAGTATTATTTTTGTCTTTTTCAACTCTTTTAGCACGTTTTTCAACTAAAAATATAAACATTTCTGAAAATTTCGTTAAAAACAACAAAATTAAGCTAAAAATTGTGTCATTTTTTGCACTTCTAAAGTTTCTAAGCGTTTTGTACGTTTTTTAAGCCATAAACAGGATTATTTTGCAAAATTTTATTAAAAACAAACCAAAAATTTATCATATTAAGCCAAAAATTGTTATTTTTCTAAAACCAAAAAAAAAAACACAAAAAATCAAGTCATTACGTTACCTTTTTCAAGTCTCTTAGCATATTTTTCAGGTAAAATGTAAAAATTTCGTAAAATTTTCATAGAAACGAGTCAAAAAACTTCAGAATTAGACCGAAAATAGTGTCACTTTTGCTGTTTTCAGAGTGTAAAATAAACGTAAAATTACCAAATTAAGCCAATTTTTTTTGCACTTAAAGTTTTTAAGCACGTTTTTGAAATAAATACAAAGTTTTTGCGAAAAATTTTACTAAAACTGACTGAAAAATTACCAAATTGTATTGAAATTGGTATGATTTCAGCTTGTTTCGCTCGATTTAGTTCATATTTAAACTAGCGACTTATTTAAATTCAGTTTTTTTCGTGGAAATAATTTATTTCTGATTTCTGATTCCTGATTTTTAATTTTTGATTTCCGATTTCTAAACTTTTTGCGAAATTTAGACCAAAAAAAACATCATTTTAGGTTTTCAAATATTTTAGCATGTTTTTCTGGTAAAAACGTGTTTATTTTACAAACGTTGGTTTACAAAAAAAAAAACAAATACTATAGTAATGGACCAAAAAGTGTTATTTTTATCTTTTTCTAAACATCTTGTACGTTAAGTCATAAACAAAATTATTTTACAAAATTTCGTAAAATACAAACCGAAAATTTATCACATTAGACCAAAAATTGTTAAAAACACACAAAAAATCAAGTCAGTACATTTATCTTTTTCAAGTCTTTTAACATATTTTTCAGGTAACATGTAAATATTTCGTAAATTTTTTATAAAAACAAGCCAAAAAATTCAGAATTAGACCGAAAATAGTGTCACTTTTGCCTTTTTCGGAGCGTTTTTGTATATTTTTTAAAGCAAATACAAAAAAATTAAACGTAAAATTACCAAATTAGGCCAAACATTTTTCTGCACTTTTAAAGTTACTTCATTTTTAAACCAAACTCATTAAAATTCAGATTTTTTCGTGGAAATAATTTATTTCTGATATCTAGTTTCCAATTTTTGATTTCAAATTTCAAACCAAAACACAAAATCAAGTCATTATTTTTGCATTTTTTAAATTTTTTACCATGTTTTTCCGGTAAAAACGTGTTTATTTCTCAAAAGTTGGTTAAAAAGAAACCAAAAATTATAGTATTGGAACAAAAATAGTGTTATTTTTATCTTTTTCTAGGCGTTTTGTACGTTTTTTAAGCCATACACAAGATTATTTCACACAATTTTGTTAAAAACAAACTAAAAATTTATCACATTAGGCCAAAAATTGTTTAGTTTGCTGAAACCAAAGAAAAAACAAAAAATCAAGTCATTACTTTTACTTTTTTCAAGTATCTTGACATATTTTTCAAGTAAAATGTAAATATTTTGTAAAATTTTTTTAAAAACAACCCAAAAAGCTTCAGAATTAGACCGAAAATAATGTCACCTTTGCCTTTTTCGAAACGTTTTAGTGCGTTTTTAAAGCAAATACAAAAAAATACAAGTAAAATTACTAAATTAGGCCAAAGAAATTTTTGCACTTTTAAAGTTTTTAAGCACGTTTTTGAAATAAAAACAAAGCTTTTACGAAAAATTTTACTAAAACTGACTGAAAAATTACCAAATTAGATTGAAATTGATATTATTCCAGCTTGTTTCGCTCGATTTAGTTCATTTTTAAACCAGAGACTCATTGAAATTCTGCTTTTTTGTGAAAATAATTTATTTCTGATTTCTGGTTTCTGATTCCTGATTTGTAATTTCTGATTTCTCTACTTTTTGCGAGATTTTGCTAAACAAACCAAAAAACCCAAAATTAAGTCATTATTTTTGGCTTTTTCAAAGTTTTTAGCATGTTTTTCTAGTTACAACGTATTTATTTCTCAAAAGTTGGTTAAAAAAAAACAAAAAATGTAGTATTGGACTAAAATAGTGTTATTTTTATTTTTTTCTAAGCGTTTTGTACGTTTTTTAAGCCATAAAGAGTATTATTTTGCAAAATTTTGTTAAAAACAAACCAAAAAGTTATCACATTAGGCCAAGAATTGTTAATTTGCTAAAACCAAAAAAAAAACAAAAAATAAAGTCATTACTTTAACTTTTTTCAAGTCTCAGCATATTTTTCAGGTAAAATGGAAAAACAAGCCAAAAAACTTCAGAATTAGATCGAAAATATCACTTTTGCCTTTTTTCGAAGCGTTTGAGTATGTTTTTAAAGCTAATACAAAAAAAAATAAACGCAAAATTACTAAATTAGGCCAAATTTTTTTTGCACCTTTAAAGTTTTTAAGTACGTTTTTGAAGTAAATTCACAGTTTTTGCGAAAAATTTTACCAAAACTGACTGAAAAAATACCAAATTTGATTGAAATTGTTATTATTCCAGCTTTTTTTAGAAAAAAAAAAATAACACAAAAATTACAACAACCAAAATTTTATTTTCTCTCCCACAATAACAAAATTGATTAAGTAACTATAATTTCGGGCGAGTTTAGCCATTCTACACAATCTAGTAACTCTTTCGTCCGTTCTATGTGTTCTTCATCATCAAACAAGTCCTCTGGAACAAAACCACAAAATAACTGAAATTAATTTTTCAAGAAATTACTTGTAAAATTCTGAATTTTTTGCTTCTTTCCAGCCTGCTCCAACACCTCCTGAAACAATCCCTAAATCTCCTTATTACACAATAAGTTGCATAAAAAATTTGTCACCTTTAACTTCTCAAAAGCTTTTTCGTCAATTTTCTTTATTTTTTGTAGTTTTAAAAACACAATAAAAGCGTTATCAGTGCTAAAATCCCCAATCTGTCCCAACTTTTGCAAAAGTTTTAGGGGAGTGTCACATGAGATGACGTTAAAGTCGAATAAAGAGGTGGCTTCAAGGAGCAAATTCTCGCGTTCTTTGGGTTCCAACTCCTGGAATTTGAGTCAAATTTGGAAGCAATTGAATCGGATTACCTCAGTGTGATTTAGGATTTTTTTCCATAAACTTGAGGGGTACTGGACGCGGTAATAACCGATTTGTTGGTAATTGAATTTGATCCAATTTTCGTCCATTTTCCTTATTTCCACTTAAAAAAAATTATAAATAAATGTAAAAAATTCTTTTTTTTTCATACACTCATCCATTTCTTTGTCAAACCAAATAATTGTCGCGTTTGGGTTCGAATCAGTGATGTAAGTTATCGGAATTGTCCATTTGAAATCGCACTTTTGGTAGCCCAAATTTTTTTGGGTCAAAACATATTTATCCTGTTTTTCATCGACGGAAATAAGCGGATATCCGGTTTGGTAAAAATAACTCTCCAAAAAGTCGCGTAAATCGAGTTCGGGCCTGATTTCGTCAAAAACTGCCAAAAAGTCGTTAGTTGTGGCTGTTTTAAAACCAAAATCTTTGATATATTTAACAATTCCGTTTTGGAAATCTTCTCCGATTATCATTTCCAGCATTCGTAAAATTGCAGCCCCCTAAGAAAAAAACTCACTTTGAGTACCTAAAAAAAAAAAAATTCCGACCTTGTTATAAGTAACGTCGTTGAAATTCTCCCGGATTTTGGGTGGGAAATCCTCGTAGTTCACAACCGGAGCCGACTTTTTGGCCCCTTCAGCCCAATAAACCTCCTCCAGATACGTCCTCGGGAATTGCAATTCCTGAAAAGCAATTTCAGAAATCGGAAATTCACACAAGTCGAAATTACAGCACTGTTGTTCAGAATTTTTTCTTCGGCTTTAATTGACATGAAAGTGGCAAAGCCCTCCTGTAACCAAATGTCGTCCCACCACTCGTTTGTCACTAGAAAAATCACTAGTTGTGACTCAAAAAACCCGAGGGGGCGTTAATTTAGAATTAGTTGTACACATTTTTGGTTTTCAATCAAAATTGCCTGGAATTGCTTCTACTATTTGTGAATTACTAAATTTTTTTTGGAATTACTGGAATTCTTGAATTACTGAAACTCTTTTTGGAATTATCGGAGATAATTTCTTTTTAAAAATTACCTACATTGAATTTTTTAGAACTATTGGAATTATTTTGGAATTACAGGAATTATTTTAGAATTAAGAGTATTAATGTGAAATTATAGAAATTAATCCAAAAACAGTAGAATTACAAAGATAGACATAGGAATAACTAAAATTTCGGTTTGTTTTTTTTTAATTACTGAAACTTTTTTGTAAAGGACTGAAACTTTTCTAAATTCTTGAAATTTTTTTGGAATCGTTTAAATTAATTTCTTTTCAAAATTACGTTGAATTTCTTAAAAATATCATAATTAATTTGTA